CTTATAAAGAACACAGAATGGAGTGTATCTGAAATAGCACAAAGTTTCCTGTAAGGGGTAGGTTTAGGGGTAGTGTTAGTGTAGGGCAATAGCACATACATTTTGTACAGTATAAAAACCATTAAGCCTATGGGATGTCCCCACTTTTCACAAAAACAAACCTGTGTGTGTGTGTGTGTGTGTGTGTGTGTGTTGGTGTCTCTATTTAGCATGCGTTAGAGCGGAGTGCTTGCCCTTTTAACCTCTGATTGGCTGAGGCGTGCTGCGCATTAGAGAGAACGGTATAATGAGTGATGGACAGCGTGTATATGTGTGCTAAACTGCATTGCAAGTGTCTTCAGCTTAGGGGACCACATGTATCTTGACATACAGCAGATGAATTTTCATAGATGCCCTTTTCCCTGTGATACCCTTAAAAATGTGCTATGGTTTAACTGTAGTATTTTAAGGTACTATTTTTCTGGAAGAAGTACTTTGGTGGAAATATTACAGATTTATATTGTAATATAACTGTTTCTAGAAGTGATGGAATATGTTTGATTTTTGAATGAAAAATGTTCATATAGTTTCTAAATATGTTTAGATTGCCATTATTAAGAACCTATTTCATCTGTGGTCTAACTTCATAAACCTTACATTTTATTGTTTCAAGAAATGCAACATTTTAAAACTCATCTGAACCCCAAAGGCATTTTAATAGCTGAAAAAACATATTAACATTGAAGAGTCAGGTTAACACCATGACATTTCCTATTGGAGAACAGATTATGAACAAAATTTCAACGTAATAACAGTTATCCTCCATGAAACATGCTGAATAAATGCAAATAAGATTGAGTAGATACAAGCTTTCCACATGTTTATTTGGATTTGTTTTATTGTCATTTCTAACAGCTGGTTGTTGCTGGGGTTGTTTCTAGAATAGATACTAATCACATATCTGAGAATTGCTTATCTACTTTGTCATGCATCAGAGTGAAAATGCACCAATAATATGCTTGCTGGGTTTTGGTTAAAAAAAAAAAATTACGGAAAAATAAGAATCTTTTCATATTATTTGTATTATTATTACACTATTCGTCTCTGGACATCAATAATAAAAACAATAAGGTGTATCTCAACAGAACATGAGGGCTAAATGACTGGATACTTCTAAGCAACTTCTGGCGATGCTTAACGGAGATGTGTGATTAGGAGACTCGGTGTGAGGATGAGTTAAGTTGGATGCGTGTTTGTCCATCATTGTCCGTCTAATGATGAAATAAAGTTGCTGTGACGGAGATGCTTTGAAGGATGTCATGTCACACACATGGAGTGTGTGTGCATGTGTTTGCTCCTGCTGACTCCCTGAAAGCCTTGCAATGCCAAACAGTGTGACAGGTCTGTTAGCCAGCTGCTCCAGTGTGTGTGTGTGTGTGTGTGTGTGTGTGTGTGTGTCTCTGCCATTATAAACACAAAATGCAGGACAAACACACAAAACAATGCCACAGGGACACTGAATTACATTTTGAGAATGAATGTCTATCATTATGGCTGTAAACCTTCTTAAATGGATCACAGATTTTAGACAAGCTTAAACAAGCTTGGTCGGCGGTTTATATGAGAAGAGCTCTGACATACTGCAGTGTATCTGTGAATCAAGTATAAGTAATTGTTTCCTCTTCTCTATCAGAGCACACAAACAGAATCTGAGTGTGTGTGTGTGTGTGTGTGTGTGTGTGTGTGTGTGTGTGTGTGTGTGTGTGTGTGTGTGTGTGTGTGCTGTTATATTTTAAAGAGCAGCAGAGGAGCTGAGAGAAATGAGCAAGGGTGAGAGTGAGAAGGAGAGAGAAAAGTGATGTGAGCCCCCTGGCTTAGTTTTCTTTCACTCTGTAACTACCAGCTGTGCCTCCTCACACGATCCCGAGGATCAGATCACACTTTCACGCACATACACGAACTAATAAAAGCTTACCAAGGGCCATGTTCCTACACAAGTCCACTCCGAATTGTCACTCAGTACTATACAACATTTAACACAGATGGGTGGCCGGTCAAATACTTCAAACAAATAATCCAAGACAAAACTTGAATAATTCAGGTGTTCTCCGGAATCATTTGAATTCATGGGTTGTGTGAACAATCATAAAATTGGGCTCTTTAGTCAAAGCCATTACATCTTTAGGATTTAGAAGCTCTGGCAGACAATCGGACTAGGCAAACAAATCAAACTAGATTAGTAGAGTCCTAGAAAGACCAGCACCAGGGCGTTTAATTGCTGTAAGTGTGTGTTGGATAAACATGTATGAAAGATTAGTCTGATATTCAAACCTGTGGCTGTAAAAGATGTGTGTGAGAGAAAAAGCCATGTTTACATTTTATATTACTCTTCTTCCTCATACTGAATCTTAATGGCTGTGTGTACCCAGGTGAGAAAGACGTAGTATTAAATGTATTAAAAATATACTTGAAATTGCATTAATTTTAACACAATTTAATATATTAATATATATGGCAAATAGCTTAAAATTTATCTTAAGCATATCTTGAAATACGTTTAATATACTTAAAGTTGTTTCAAAATAATACATTTAATATGCACTTAGTATAGTATAATTTAAATATAGTAAGTATGTCTGAAAAAGCACAATTTAAATATATTTCTTTTTCACCTGGGTAATCAGGCATTTATGAAGGCTCATGATATATAAAGCCAAGTGTCGGATGGATTAACAGACACTCTGTTGTTGTTTGAGGATGTTTATTAACCTTCCATTTATTTTAATCAGAACATAAAACATCTGAATGTACAGGCACCAATTACCAATCAAAAAGCACACCAGAATAACTCAAAATAACTTTGTTTTTCAGAATAGTGTCAGTGGTTGGAATTTTGGCCATTTTAATACATGGACTTTATTTGGTTGATCACAGTAGACATAATTTTCTCTTTCAGCATTCTCTTTCAGTGATGTTTGGCGTGCTCGTTGTATTAGGTGTTATCGCTGAAGATCTCAGAAGAACCTGTGTAAGGTCAAACGTCAAGTCCCAGAGTTCACTGCTGAACTACAACACTTCATTAACACACACACACACAAACACACAGGCTTGTTATTTAAAGGGGTCATATGATGCGATTTCAATTTTTCCTTTCTCTTTGGAGTGTTACAAGCTCTTGGTGCATAAAGAAGATCTGTAAAGTTGCAAAGACTAAAGTCTCAAAACCAAAGAGATATTCTTTATAAAAGTTAAGAGTTAACCACGCCTACCTAAAACGGCTTGTTCTAACATGCCCCCACATACCTACATCACGATCTGGGAAGATTTGCATAACGCCGCCCAAATGTTCACACAACGAAAGAAGGCATAACTTTTATTCTCGCTGTAGTATTGTTGACGCTGCAGCCATCATAAACACATTTCATTACACCAAATACACAAAATAATGTTCTTTTTAGCAACACCATATGACCCCTTTAAATACAAACTGAAAATCGTGTCGTATGTTTCAAAATAAATCCATTTGCAGCTGAGTTTAATTTGAGAGTTTAAAGGCATAATTTAGCCAAAAAGATTCCTTCATCACTGACTCACCGTCAGGTCGTTCCAAACCTGAAGATTTTCTTTTTAGTGTAACCAAAGATATTTTGAAGAATGCTGTGGGTCCAAACAACATTGGACCCCACTGACTTTCATTGTTATGGGAAGGAAAAGCGGAGACATTTTACAAAATATCTCTTTCTGGGTTACACAAAAGAAAGAAAGTCATTAAGGTTTGGAACATGAATAAGCAAATGACGACAGAAAATTTTTGGGTGTACTATCCGTTTAGTTTAGTTTTTTTTTTTTTCAATGCTTAAAATCTTTTTGTTTACACTTGTCCAGATTTAGAGCAAAATATGCTTGTCCATGTCCACATGAAACCCATTTAGCTAACACCAGAAATTGCATCACACTAGGGGCCACTAGGGGCTCATAAATGCAGGAAAATAATTTCATTTGAGCAAAAATCACCCAGAGAACAATACAGATATGCTAACACTCATTAAAGTGTTGTATCCTGATTACCATCCTTGTGCATGATTAACGCGTTTCATTTAATTGGGTATAATAGCCAAACACAAGACATCATTAAACAGAAAGGGACAAATTCAGACAACATATTCTCACACTGGTGCTGAGATCAGATGACCCTTCTATTCCCATCGACACTACGGACAAGAATGACAATGAAGTGCCGAGAGAGTGTGCCGCGCGGAGAGAGGAGATTCATCAACAGTCAGATTGAAACGAAGCAGGTGGCAGCTCAGTCTGGATACAGAATGAAACCAGAAAATGTACTGTATTTGTTGTTGTTTCCTCCGTGCGCCTTTCCGCCGTCGAGTTTGACATAAATCTCGTCGCCAGAGTCCAGGTGCAGCACAGCACTGTTGCTCGCGTAGTCGTAGTTCTGATCGGCGTCTTGCGCGATGGCACTCGCCCGAACCTGTTCAAATAAACGCAGAATGTCATTCAGTGCCATGATAGCCAGTATACTAGAACTAAAACTTCTCTTTTGACCTTGTTTTAATATTTGTGAATAAGGAGAAATCACACCCTGTCGTTTTGCTAGTTTTGGTAAAGAATTAAGAAAGGCATGGCTTATAATAATAATAATGATTAAAAATAGCCCAAATTATTTGTTTATTATTATTGTACCAGTACTTATTTTAATACATCATACATGCATTCACCTCCTGTCTGCAGCAACAACAGCCAATGTTTTGTTATTAATGCACAATATGCCTATGCGTTCGACTGCTCTTTATCTCGTAATGCAAATCGTATTTTATTGTACGATGCATAGCGTTTTGTTGAAATGTTTATTAGCCTATATCCCCCAGAGAACCAGCGAGATTCAGACCTTTTGTCTTCAACGCCAGTTGCAAATCAAAGAAAACAGATAACAATGCCTTTTTGTCAGCTTACACCACTTTTCAGATTTTGATATTTAAAATAACAGAACATGTCTGAATACGGTCACATCCATAGAGTTCTTCGAACGCATCAGTCATGGATCTTGTTTGATACGCGTAATTACCACACCTTGCGCAATCACTTGACAGTCGATGCATTTGGATCATATCAAAGTAATCGCATAAAACTAATTTGAAATGTTGTTTTATCTGTGTGCCAATTATATGACTTGAACTGGCTTCAACGTTTTTCAACAATTTCTGTCAGTAGCCTTGAACGTTCTGGACAAAATCTCGCGCAACCCATTTATCTCTCGATCGGCACCTTAATGCACTTACGCCAGTTCTGTCTATCTGATGTGGAAATCTGATGTGGAAATCTAGAATAATGTGATAAATAATGACTTATGGATGTACCGCGATAAAGATGTTGCTATACGGTTACTTACGCAACTTTTGTGCGGAACGCTGTTTAAAAACACGGTTGAAATATACCTGGGGAAATAATGTTCTTTAAGACCCATCATTTTTCTTGATCCCCTTTGGGTGACTCGAGACTCAATTAGCCTTAATTAGCATCATGTGTTTGCTGTTTTGCTCCTGTAAACGTAGTAGAAATACCTGTCCGTTTTTACAGAGGTCTGCCCACATGCTTGTTCCGTCCCCTCCGCGCATCAGCACATGGTAGGTGAAGTAGTAAATTCCCGATACCTGGCACGTAAACTTGCCGGTAGTGGGATCATAGTGATTTCCCACATTTGTCACAACATCATCAAAGCGGAGCACCTCGTAGCCTTCGTGAGGGTTCTTGAGACCCACATAAAAAGCGATCTTGATGTTCCCCAACGCTGGACCAACGTCTCCTGTCTCAGTCCTCGCCGTTCCCGATGTGATGCCGGTAAATCCAGGTCTGCCGGAGTCTCCAGGTGGTCCCCTTGGACCAGGTGGACCCGGTTCGCCAGGTGGACCCCTGGGACCCGGTTTGCCCGGACGCCCCGGTTCCCCTCTAGTCCCTTGAGTGAAAGATGGTGGAATGGCACTGAGATCCTGCATCACCTCCAGCGCCGTGGCACTCGCTTTGGGATTGTACGGATCACAGATCATCCGACAAGTGCCCATCATTTCGTAGTGCGCTGAAACCACTGAGGTCTGGACCAGAAGCGGAATTGCGATGACCAGCGCTACGATCATGACGATGCCCACGACCGCGCCAATTATTCGCTTGGTGTGGAGCACACGGGAAGCTCGCGCTAAGAAGTCCGGCTCGTTTTTAGAGGAAATGGTGACACGCGGACTGGAAAGTACGGCAAGCGTAAAACACTCTCTTTCCTTTAAATGTATATAAAAATATACACACCCACCAACACAGTCAGAAATGTGCCGTACCTCCCCTTCTTGTGACCTCTGGCAGAATAGCACTGTATTTGCCAGAATTGTCGGAGAAACTATTGGCTTTGGCACGCGCGCCGGAGCGCGAGGCGGAGCGGTGAAGGTTGCGCACAGAGAGAGAAGATGCGCTGACTGACGTAGCAACACGGTTGCAGTTTGGATGAAAGATGCTCTAAAGCTATAAATAAATATAGAGGACGATCCGAGCGTAACAAAACATATGTTCTCGTTCAACAGAATTGGTTTTAAGCCCATCTCTCTACAGACTTGTAATTGTGTTAATTGGCATTCATAAGTTTTAGTTTATCTCGTTTTCAGTTCGATGCAAATTTTAGAATGTTATAATTCTTCATGTTCATCACTCTTTCCATGCTGATGGTGTCTGTGCACCATCGCTTTAGCGTAACTGAGGTGGAGACTGCACCAATTAACAGTTTAGCCTTTAGCACATGCCAACATCTTGGGAGAAACCACTGCAGAAGCATTTTTTGTTTGTTTGTTTTGTTTTGTTTGGACTATGGACAATAGTATTCATGTATGTACAGTGGTAATGGTAACATCGAACTGGTTTTATTGAAGTCAAACATTTGATTAAATATCACTGAATCAACAATGCCAACAAAATCAATATTTCATGGGTTAGTAAATCAGGTATAAATATCTCTCTATAGTAACAATCACATGTGATCACTTTTTTTACTGTGTACTATAATAAATATGGTAGTCGTTCAGTGCCATGGTATAAATCAAGGGTGTCCAAACTCGGTCCTGGAAGTTGCTAGCATGCCTAGTAAGACCTTGGTTAACTTGTTTAGGTGTGTTTAATTAGGGTTGGAGCTAAACTCTGCAGGACACCAGCCCTCAGGGCCGAGTTTGGACACTGCTGGTATAAATCAAAGCATCATGGTACTATAGTCCTTTTGGAAAGCAATTGATGTAATACTTGTTACAAAGCTTCCTTATAGTAACCTTACTGCATAACATTGGATACAATGCATGTGACTAATCCGTTTAGTGGACTGTGTAAACTTCTGATGAAGAAAATGAAATGACAGCTTGCTATTTACGTTTTTACCAAATATAAATCTGAGCTTGAACATGATTTTTAACATTCCCTTTTAACTGCAATTATAGACAGACAGACAGACAGACAGATAGATAGATAGATAGATAGATAGATAGATAGATAGATAGAAATGGGGGGGGGGAATCTAATTTGTTTCTGACCCACATGGAAGACAGTTGTAATAATACAAAATCCATTTTAATATAAAAGTAGCAAACTAAATATGAAAACAGTTATTTCACAGTGGCAAAGACTGTCAGGCCTGGAATGAGGCCTGGAAGAGGCCACTTAAGAGACACAGTTCAACTTAAGTCAGGTGCGCAGGGGAATTTCTACCACAGCACCAAAAATAGCATGATATCACCATAGATCATGCAACAATGTACTACCATTGCATGATGGTGGTAAATCTGTACCATGAATCCTAAATTATTAAATTACTTGTTTCGAGATACAGTGATAATTCTGTCAATGGTACAGAATGACCTTGAGTAGGTTGATCTGTGTTTCACAGGTGCATCATCAGAAGAGAGTAAACAGAGGCAGTGATGAAGGCGGATTCAGAAGGTGGTGAGCTGTTCTATCTAGCAGACTATGGTGGGAGTGAGTGTTTTACCTCAGGCCTTATCTAAAATGTGTGCCCTCTTACAAGGGAAAAACATGTGAGATGTGACATGTAAGAGTGAAAGTCTTGCTATTCCATTTCTGCTATGCTATTTGCTCCCCTGTTTTTCTTTTATTTATGTGGAAAAGTTAACGTGTGTGGATGAATCTGTATGCCAGCTTATTCATGGCTGTTTTGTGTGTTGTGTCATTGTAAGTGTGTGTGTCTTTGTGTTTAAACTTATCTGCTCACTGGGCTGTTAGATGTGGGTCTGACTGCTGTGACTCGGGGCTGCGTGTGTGACAGGGACTATAAACATGAATAAACTGGCACACACATTCCCTCTTTCTTCAGTCACACACACAGCCATGAATATATTAGCCCTTGCACACATCCACTCATAAATAAGCCTGTGCTCACACACACACACACACACACACACACACACACACACACACTTATGCACAGACATTTCCGTTCCATTACCAATCACTCATAGTGTTAAAAGAGGCAGCAGCCTAAAATGTGATTGTACATGCTAAGAACTTAAACGAAGTAAGGACAACAGGAGAGTGGGGTAAGATGAGCCAGTGGGTAAGTCAGGCCACCCCCTGTGCACTCTAAAAAGAAATTCAGTAGACCTATTACCACAACTTAAATAGATGCATGATTGCAACTTAAATGTTATCAATTCTATTTTATTGATATAATTAAACCTTTTAAGTTGCAAACATTGTGATGAGTTTTTTTTACATAATAATGTTGATCATTACATTAACTTAATATTGTGTGTAATTTTAACCTCATTGTTTATATGAGCAATGACTGCATTAATGCTACTATAGTGACAAGTAATATTTTACTTGTTCATTAAATTTGCATGCCGAATAAGTTCCATTTAGTATGTGCTATGCTAGCTGTTCATTTGAACTGAAATAAATAACATTAATTGGTTCCAAGGCCACCATTCAACTTTACGAAAATATGTGTTTATGCTGCAAATGATTATGTTCCTCTTACTCAATTGTGGTTTGTTGGTTTAACATCATTTCATTAGAATTTGCCATAACTCCAAAAGATTGATGCAATTTTTTTAAAGGGGTCATATGATGCAATTTAAATTTTTCCTTTCTCTTTGAAGTGTTACAAGCTCTTGGTGCATAAAGAAGATTTGTAAAGTTGCAAAGACTAAAGTCTCAAATCCAAAGAGATATTCTTTATAAAAGTTAAGAGTCAGCCACGCCTACCTAAAACGGCTCGTTCTAACACGCCCCCACATATCTACGTCACGATGTGGAAATATTAGCATAATGCCGCCCAAATGTTCACGCAAAGAAAGAAGGCGTAACTTTTATTCTCACTTTAGTATTGTTGCTTCCACCTCCGTCATGTTGTGGAGACGCTGTGTGTTTCGTTGTGAAAGCGAAACTACTTTGTTTGGTCTTCCAAAAGAGGACGATATCCGCTTCGTCATGCCTGGAGCTGATCCGTGCTGGTCGCTGAGGAAATACATCAACTTCACGCTGTGGATCGCCGGATCGGCTTTCACCGTGGACGAAGCGGAGTCCAGCCCGAAAAGCTCCAATCAGAGCACACCTCGCTTTTCAGAACGATGAGCTTTGTAAAAATCGATGCGTTTCAGAAAGGCGGGGCATAGAGGAGAAACAATAATGTACAGTATGTGGAAAATAATGTGTTTTTTTTTTTTTACCTTAAACCGCATAAACACATTTCATTACACCAAATACACAAAATAATGTTCTTTTTAGCAACATCATATGACCCCTTTAATAGTGTATCTATGAAACTCTAGAAACTATAAACATTTTTGTTATATGACCAAATGTTCAGGAAGTTGCTACCATTTCTAACTGCTTCCAATGAAAAGAAACAGATAACGCAAACAGTATTTTGTATGTCAGTATAATTCGTTATCAAAGAAAATTTATACAGATAAAAACAAATGAATATATGAAATCACATGGATATTTAGCTAAGGAATCGGTATGTTCCTCACTGCATAAATTATATACACATACATCATTTTAATTGAAGGGTTTTCAATTGCAACAGACTTTGTTATAGTTGCATCAGTTTTACCTCTGTATTTCTCCTTGCATAGAGGAAACACTGTCTCATCTTATGGCGTATAATAACATTACATGAATTTAGACATTGTTTAGGTCCAGAGTTTAGGTTTTCTAATGTTTTTCCAGGAGTGTGAATGTGCAAAGTCTGTATGAGTGCTGCATATATATATATATAATATGTTTTAGATAATCCTGTTTTAAATAACCCAGTGTATAAGAACACATCACGTCATCACAAAACCTAACTTGACCTAAATTGTAGCAGAATATTAAAATTGCAGTTTTCTGTGTAAACCTCAGTGTTTTACAGGTGTAGATGGCTCTTTTTTTGTGATGCAGAGCTGTAGTGAATCAACACTGACTCTGCCGCAAACAGGCCTGATTATGTCAAAAATACTTGTGCATGTTTGGCCTGTGTTGCCATATGTGTGTTGTTTGCAAATGAGAGTTAGCCTCTGTTTTTATGATGCTGCCTGCTGGATACAGTCCCAAACACAGAGAGATGAAGAAAGTAATAGATACGGCGAGAGAATGATAGTGACCATCTAAGATGTAGATGAATTTGCTTCTTCATCAGAACAGATTTGGAGAAATGTAGCGTTACATCACTTGCTCACCAGTGGATGCTCTGCAGTGAATGGGTGCCGTCCGAATGAGAGTTCAAACAGCTGATAAAAACATCACAATAATCCACACCACTCCAGTCCATCAGTTAACATCTTGTGAAGTGAAAGGCTGTGTGTGTCCATCATTAAGATGTTTTTAACTTCAAACTGCTGCTTCCAGCTAAAATACATGTCGCCTATCTATAATATTGCTTTCTCCAGTTGATGTGAGAGGACAACAGGAGATGGACTTTTTCACTGGAGGAAGCGTCATTATGGATTATGGGCTCGTATTTTGGTGACGGTTTAAAGTTTAAACACTTTAATGTGTCACAATCTCCAGTCTGTTGCTCATTCACATCTGCACTACAGTTCCCATCATGCATCCTGCACTCAGTTGGTCTTGAACCACATCTGACACGATTCACCTCATTAAATCACCCTACTTAAGCACCTAGCTCGGATATCCTGGTTGTCTGGTCTCGTTTAGAGTTCAGACTGTAATCTCAGAATTCTTATCTCCAGCGGTTTCCTCCTGCATTCCCCCATGTCTCCCTGGCATTACCTGGATACTTGCCTAAAAGAAGATGAGGTGTGTGCATTCCTCGAACCTCATCTCCACATCTATGATCTCTCCAGC